CGTGGAGGATGTAAGCAAACCATAATGTCGTTCGTACTGGGGATTTGTCTATTGGTTTGATGCTTATTGTTAATGTAAATGCTTACATAGTTCTCTGGTAACTTTTCTCGCTATATGTTCACGTCATTTTGGTTCTATCTTTATCTCAGAAAACACGCAAGCTAGTAGTGCTTCAGGCCGAAGACGCAACTAAGGTATCCAGGTTTTATTGCGGCCTTGGTGAGCGCAGCAAGTTTTCACGGTGCTCGAAGCTGGTCATTGCCGACTGCAAATAAACATACCGCACCTGTAGAGACTCTCTGCTCATTCGTGACGCCAAGGGCCGTAACACTACCACTCACTGACTTTTTCTTACACACAAAAGTCTAAATATCACATGCAAGTCAGATACATATCTGAATGTGGTTCTGCCTGTCTTCTGCTAAGGTTCATTTTATTATCAGTGTCTTTCCTTTGTTTTAACACAGTCACTTATTCTCATTGTGAAGTGTTTTCTACTTACAGCACATACTGTATTAGTAGACTGCTTCATGATTTTGAGGGAATGAGGGCAGGGTGGTTTTGATTCCAGTTAGGAAAAACTCAGTGTCAGATGAAAACAGTGTGTGCGCATACTTTGGAGGGATGTTCAAGCTGGTATGCCACAAAACCTAATATTTAACTTGCAAATGACCAGCGAGATATCAAAACACAACTGTACCAGAGGAAGAGTTCAGTCGGTGGAAATAATTCTGAGTTCAACTATTAAGAAATATTTATAAAAGCTACTGTGGCTAGTGCTCTTATATATTTCTACATTGAAAGAGAAAGAATGTTCAAAAAAGGCTTTGATTTGCTTCACTAGGCATCATAAAGTTAATGCGTACATTATCTTGTGCAGACTAATAAGAATGTGAAACTATATATATTTATTTTGTAGATGTCCGTTGTCTGCTTCTGGGACCACTAATGTATATCCTAAGAGTCCTGAAAGGTACTGTACAAACTAGAAAGTGTCCTTCACAGTTCTGAAATGAAGTTAATGTTTAACTGTCATCATTACACAATGATTCCCCTGTTTTCCCTGCTGAAACATTTGCCTCTGTGAAGGGACTGCCCCGTATCACTTATACTAACAAATTTCCTCATGCTGATGCCGCAGCAACACATAGACTAAGACAAATACTGTGCCAATACAGCCATATATGGTCACCTGTACATGTACTGTATATACACTCACCCATAGTACACGAAGGAACACAGACGTATACACAGCTGATGTTATGTTTTTGCAGGTCAGACACAAAGGAATCTTTGCGTTTGACACAGGTTTAGTACGTTATCAATCAAACCTGCTGAAACGACTTCATTAACGACATAGAGTGAAACTTAAAGCTATGTGAATCATTTAAAAATATTTAACACTGACTAGTAAAAAAATAAAGCAGCACTGGCTTTAACCAAAGACAAAAACAGAGCTGGGCTGCATGTAACTATAATGGAAGCCCAGCAAGTAGCTGCACAGTGTGCACACGTATCACAACACTTCTCCTGTCTCCAGCACGAGGAGCTGGCTGGATATTAACACTGAACAACACGATGCTGCCATGTCAGCTGGGCTGCTAGTAAACCCCCAACAAGAGTCTCCGACTTTCCTCTTTTTGTCTGTACAGCACATTCACCTGGTGCTTGAATCACTGTTTCCAGCAGCAGCAAACACCAACTGCTGCCACCAAAAGAACTAGACGGGGAAAAAAACTGAACATTTAGTAGGTAAAGAGCTAAGAAAGACCAAAACGTAGCTAAAAGAAATGGAAGAAATTGCTCACATGGACAGAGGCATGGCACAGTATGAATATCTGTGTGAGTCTATAGGCCAAGGAACCCAGCATGGACAGTCTAGGTTCAGAGACACTGTGAGCACAGCTCCACCCACTGCTGTTTTCAGTGTAGCCGCTGACGAGTAGCTCTGTCTCTGTATAAATATAAACTCTTTCCGCATGACTATAACACAGTCCAGTACAACACCACCTGCAAAAAATGACAGAATAAGAAAATCCACACCTTCTGACAAAGTCCTGAAAGAATAACCAGTGTAAGAACAGGTGTACAACCAAGTTTTTTTTATTTCTGGATGCTCCAAGTTTCTGGTATCAAACAATGGCAAAAACTGGTTCATACAACAACAGTTAGGTTGCACTGGATTTGATTGTTGTGTATCCAAGGTTTTAGTTGACTAAAGGCTGACTGAAAAAAAAGCCTGAGGTTCATAAAATATGACTAAAACTAGCATGGATGTTCGAGACCAATCTAAAAATAGCTGACAAAATTAAATCCATTACTAATGACATTTTAAAAATATAGAAATTCTAACTATTTGTGTGGATGCTGTAAAGCATCCACACTATGCTCTCCTGTTCTTTATTTTTTATTATTATTATTCTGGGATCTTCCACCCTTTTTTTGGCACTTTATAAGTCCAGCATACTTTCAGCTATACAGGCCATTGAGGTCTTGATCTGTTCAACTCTTCAAGGACATCCCTGCTTGTACTCAACTTTTTTTATAACATTTATACTTTTTAATCTATTCAGCTTTATATTTTGCAATACAAGTCAATGGGAGCTCAAAGTGCTGAGTCAATGACAGTCTTGGAGTGCCATCTGGCGGTTCATAAAATGCAGCGCAATTGGGACATACACTCCAACATAACTCCTCTCTCTGTCTCCTCCCCCCGCCCACACACGTTCACACCTACTTGTTTTACCTAGTTTGTGGGGTCCTATTGGACTATTTTCACATCCTTAATATGTTCAGCATACCTTCAGCTAGCAAAGCAAATGTATCAAAATGTTCAGCTCTTCAAGGCCATTCCTACTTTATTGCATCTCATTCTTCAGATTATTCAACAAAGAACTTCAGCCATTTCTTCTCAACTGTTTCAACAAAGAACTTCAGCCATTTCTTCTCAACTGTTTCAACAAAGAACTTCAGCCATTTCTTCTCATCTTTCACCTGTTTCAGCAATTGATTTCAGGAATTTTCAGGACAATCTTTCAGCTTTTATTAGCATCCACACGCATTTACGACTGGAAGCACTGTGGACCCCCTCTGAAAAATAGTCCTGCTACAGTATGTAGGGTCTAGAGCTGGTTTTAGTGCTAGTCCTGTATGTAGGACCTTTTTAAACCACTTTGTTACAGCACAATACACAGGTCACATCCAGTCCCAGTCCTAGGTCAAGTACCAGACCTGTTAACAGGAAAAGGAAACCAGTGCAAGGTGAAGCAAATGGTCACAGCCAACACCTCCAAAACGGTTTTACCAAAAGCTGTGTAGCCTACTAGCATCATAACAGTTCAGTAGGCCTGATATATTACAGTGCACATTAGTCTGGGGGGCCACACACACACTGGACATTGAGTATCCCGCTGTGGGTTTTTATTTTCAATAGGGCACAGCGGCCCCCAGACCCCGCAAACATCTTTTGTCCAAAGGGATGACCACATGAGATATAACGACGAAGGTTCCCCATAATGTTGCACATTACCACTGATCAACCGGGTCCGGTGCAGCCTGCTGCCGGTGCGATTCCGGTGTGAGCGCGCAGAGGACGGGCTCCGCGTTCCGCGCTGGTCACGCACGGCTTCTGCAGCCCGGCAGATAGGCTGCCAGTAGAAAGCGGATGTCCCCTCCTCACACTTAACTCTGCCACAACACAGGCCGTTTAACACGCACTAAAAAGATTTAAAGAGTAAAAGACTTACTTTTGAAGTGAAATCGATTCTTTTCAGCTCGACACCGTTTCCACTGGTTTTCTATCGAATCATGATTTGAAAGTTATGAAATGAAGCTGGAGAGGATCTGGAGTGCTGACAAAAAGTTCAGCCGCAAAACGGTCAGTTCCTCTATCTGTGTGCACAAGGAAGTAAAAGTTAACTTGAATTACGGGCATAGCCTGCGAGTTATTAAAAAAACGCCGGAAGCAGGGACGTATCTATGCAAACGACGCTGCCTGCAGCATCGGACGGAAGGGAATGAGAGCTGCCGGTCTGGCCTGTCAGGATCAGGACTCACAGGACACTGGCATTTTCAAAAGAATCATTATAGATTCTTTCACGCCTTGCGCAATCCTTGTCACAGTGCGCTCTCTCTGATGTCGAGCGCAGACAAGGCTGCGCCAGTTCGCACACATGCACCAGCTCCTGAGGGACAGGTGGTAGGAGGACCCCTCCACTGATGTGGCCCACAAGGTCTTTAAGATGTCTTTCACTTGAAATACTCCCAATTATAAATAGTAACGAGGAAATAACCTGTTATCAGCGGAGGAAGGAGGCTCGAGCAGAACTACCACAAAGTAGAACCACTACAGAACTTTCTGCTTTGGTTAAGTGAAAGTTCACAAGTAGTATCTTCGTGTTTTATTACAGAACGGTGCCTTTAGGTCACACTTTAACTTCTAAAACGGTACGAGTTTGTTTTTAATGAAAAACCTTAAACTGCCAACTAGCTGTCAGATAAATGTAATGGATAATAAAAAGATTTCCCTCTGAAATATAAATACTAAAGAAATTGACAGAAATCCTTAATGAACATCGAAGTATAGTACTTGAGTAAATGTAAACAGTTACTTTGCACAGCTGTCTGCAGTCATACTGTTCAATATGAAACCAATATCAAATCTTCTACGGGCTACTAGGTACTGGTTCCTTCTTTAAAGACATGATTATACACTCACCGACCACTTTATTAGGTATACCTGTACAATTGTACATACTTCAATGCAACACTTCCACCTTAACATTTGTTTATGATGCTCAAAATGTTTCAGTTTTTGTCATAAATGCATACATTCAACTATTTGTTTATTGTTGAGGTCACAGTTAAAGGTGGTGTTGATCTGACTACATTATATTCAGAGGTGTCTGTATGTTTTGTCCACCCCATGAGAGGGTCAGAATAATAGGTGATCCTCAGTCTCCAAACATTGTCACATCTCTGGGAATAACATAATAAAATCATTTCCATACAGAAAGAAAGAAAC